ATATTAAAATCCCAATATATTCATATGCAAAAAATGTATGTAAAAACGACAGACCCAAAGGGCACAACAGATGCAAGTGATAAAGCAAGCCCAAAGCCGCCACCAAACCCCACTGAACTACAAGCAATTTTCGCCGTTTTTGATTGATCATATCCACGCGTTGACTAAAAATAGAACTGCCCGAGCGTAGTCCAAAAACCTAGGCTGGTACTGTACTCGTACACGTACAATGCAACAATCACCAACTGAGCGAAGTACGCGCAAGAGCGTCCCCCAGCGCATCCCTCGAGAAACCAGATTAAACCGCAGATGCGCTGTCAAAGAGTGACAGGGCCAGGAGAAACGACTTGATTGCCCCATGTGACCAGGCTCAGGCTGAACAGAACAGGACAGCGAGCAGGAGAGAGAGACAGAGACACGCACACGTTCAACGTTCTAATGAACCCAAAAAGATTTTACGCGCCAAAGACTTTTTTTTTAACGTTTGCCCCAAGAGTGGGTATCCCTCTCGTAGTAGAACTGCAAAAAAAAATAAATAAGAACAAAATAAATAAATAAAAGAAGAGAAAGGTCAGGTTTGTGGTTCGAATGGAGAATACCCCTGGTAAAATATGGATTCAATTTAAATTTGTTGTACCAAAAATGATAAATATTAATCGAATTATTCAAAGTTTTCATCGAATATCTTATAGCCACATTCATCGCCAGAGTAACGGACCTATTTTTGAATATTTTTCCCAGAGATAATGCCAGAATCTTTCAATATTCTGCTACTTTGAAATGTGACTCTGTTCTACCCATTTCAGCTACGTCCATCCAACTCGTTGTAAAGGGTATGCAAAGCAGCAACGAAGATAAACAGGCGGACACACAGAGCCAAGCCAAGGAGAGGAGTTCTGCCTGCCTTTTCTCTGTTTTGATACGATATAAAATTAAAGACCTAATGAAGTGGAGGCAGCGACAACGCGGAGATAAATATGCACACAGCAGCAACAGGCAACAGGCAGCAGCAGCAGCAACAACAACACATAACCCGTTTGACCAGTCACTGCGGCAGTTGTTGTTTGGGGCAAGAATCATCATAATTTTTACTATCAACTTGCAACATTGGGACATATGCGACGTCTTGCACCGATTGCGTGTGCCTCGGGTCCCAACTCTTCGTCTCCGTCAACGCCTACACCAGCAGCGAACCAAGGTACATTGGATTGGTAAGGGAAGGGCAGACGGAGGATCACTTTAAAGAAGTTCCGAGACGGCCAAAACCTTTATGGTTCGATATACCTTGAACCCAAGCAGCGTTGAACCGATCGCTGATCAGTGGCAGTGGCTAACCATAAGCTAGAACGGGACAAAACAACAACAAAGCCTCGTACAATACACACACACACACAGGAATATAGAATTGATATGAAAACAGGTCATTGCCTTAATGGATCTTGACTCTCACCCCTGCAACGCCACCACCACGATCACTCTCTTCTGCATGTGGATGCAAACGCAGAGTGCAAAAGGAACGAAATGAAATGAAACGAAACGAGAAACGTTGCCTGCATACGAAACGAGGAAGACACTCGAACAAACACACACACTCCACACAGAAATCAACGATAAAGATTTAAGCAAATAATCAAATGCATAAACAAGAGAGAGGGAGGCAAGGCATAGACATTGGTTGGGGGAGCGTGAATGCGGCACAAGCGATACCCTGGAATAAAAAGCGGAAGGCATAAGGCAAAGCTTAAGGTTTAGCTGTAGTTTAGTTAGTTATTAAGATTACAATAAATAGGAAGAAATTGTCAAAAATTAGGACTGATCCTTAAAAATAGACATGAAACATAGAACCAGCACTGGTTCTCAATGCCAAAGCTTAAACTCTACCAATACCCACTCGAAAATGTATATTTTTGGGAGCCTTCAGCACGAGTCGAGTCCTCTATGAATTCTCAAATATTTATATTTATTTAATAGTTAAGGAGCAGCAGAAACTGTAGGCAAATCAGTGTGAAGTCGTGTAAATTGGGTTAAAAGTACAATTGTCATTTAGCCACCACCACGTAATTGGAGGCGTGTGCGCTGGACGGCTGCAAGCTCGCTGATTGGATTTAAGTTCCTGCACTGCGCTCTGTCACTCTGGGCACAGGCCACAAACAAATCAATTTCAATCCACAAATAAACATACGAGTACGAGTATTTCCATGGATATATGTGTTGTATGTATGAGCTACTGTTTTTTTGGCCAGCTGCTCACTAAATCCCTACATGACGCGTGCCTGCCTGCCTGCCTGCCTGGAGCGAACACTGCCAGAATATGGTATCTGTGGGCTCCTAGCTTCAGTACAGTGCCGCTGCCTTTTGCCAGCTGTCGTGGGCCCCACTACATCTGCTCCTTCAGTTGGGGATGTCTTGTGCCACTTGATCTTCTACACGCTCGATACCCGACTGCAGGCCAATAGATAAGACTTCTCCCCTGCCAACCGATCTACCCGTCTCGTGCGCTGCTTATGTAATACTAGACGAAGACAACAACTCCTCTGTGGCATCTTTTCGCTCCAGGGCTGGCCCGACTGGTTGGAGGAGCCTGCCTGCCTGCCTGCCTGCCTGTTGCTGGCTTTCTGCGAGAGGAGAAGCTTGGCGTGCTGCCATTTGATAAATTGCTTTAGTGCAGGAGCGGATTTCGCTTAGCAAAACTAAAAAATATTTCTAAATATATTTAGGAATATTTGAAAAATATATAGAAATATTTCCTAGTTTGTGGAAATGACCGCAATTTATTTTCAAGCTCTAATTTGTTATGAAATCTTTTATATTCCCCCTTTTTACAACCTGAACCGCTCCTTGGCTTACGCAACAGCTGTCAGCAATAGGTTCAATTGTATTTTTAGCATTGCGCCTCGGTTAAGTAGACGCTGCCATGGGGACCCATGGGGCAGATGGGTGTGTGAGTGTGTGAGCGAGGAGGAAGGCACAGCACAAGTGCACGGGGTAATAATTTATTTGCAGAGCAGCCTTTTGATGGAGCACAAGAGCAGCAGCAGCACCACCATCAGCAGCAGCAAGTGGCGGGCACAAACAAAAAAAATAGTTCCATGTACTGGGGGAAGTTCTAAATTATAGATATTAGGCGGCAGACTCGACTATTTGATATCTGTACGATACTCTCAAATAATGATTAATTAATAAATTGAATAAACACTACAATAAACAACAAAGCGAAATAAAGGGATATAAAACAAAAGAAAATATATATAAAGATACGTACATACACGTAAATAAAAAATACAAATTAAAATAAGTGTTAAAAAAAAATACTTATGAAAAATTAAAGACAAAATAAAATTCCCAAACAAATTTAAAGATACAAAATTAAATTTAAATACAAAAATGGTTGAATTTACTCATTTACGCTTTTAAATATTAATTCAATACTTTAAATACCTTAAATATAACTACATCTTGTAGCAGTAGTATAAAGACAAAATAAAATTTATCCAAAAAGGTAAAAAATAAATAAAAAATTAATATTTTGAAATATATTTATTGTTATTTATTTATTTAATCATTCTCAAGCTATAATTGTGGCTTGTTTTCTTTACTTATTATTTACAAATATATTTTTGTTAATTATTTTATTTTATATATTATTTTTAATGGTAAAGTAGATGCCAACACTAAATTGGAGCCAATTTTAGATTATTTCACACAACTCCAAACATAAATGTTCCACCCATGAATTAAGGTGATGAAAAGCACACTCACGCCATCCAATATACCCAACCGACACCCATTAGGTGCCGCCCTCCTGTCACAAGGCGGTTGAGGCGGTTCTTGGTCTCAATGTTGCGGACTGAGCGGGATTGGGATGGGCAGAAGGAGAGCGACAAGTGCAGCGCTGCCTGATTACACTCATTTGGCACTCGCGTGCAGGCAAATCTTCCCCAGTACCCCAGCCAGATGCCAGAACTCCAAAAGAATTACATTTAATGTGGCCCCAGGGCGTGGATGGTGGACCGGACTGTTGTTGTGCTCTGCCCTGTGCAGTGCCCTGTGGACGTGGACCGAAATTATCTAATTTGCAAAAGTTATTGCTATTAATTGGGCGTAATTATTGCGTGTCGTTTGCACAGAGAGCTACATAAATGGCGCCTTTTATGCGGCCATTGTAATCATTTTCCTTTATTTTCTTTGCTCCTCGGTCCGTCCGATTGCTACACTTGCAACACCATGGACCGTGGTCATGGCCCTGGCCCTGGCCCTGAGATGGCACTCTCTCTCTCCCACTTCCCACTTCCCACTTCGTCCACTTGTCAATTTTAATTGATTGTTAATCTGAGCAGAAGCCTGATCTCTAGGCATCTCCCTCGATTCTACCCCATTCCCGATGTTGCGGGGGGGTTAATCTTGTAACGTTCCCAGTTAATTGTATTAAATACGCTCCATGGCATTGGCGGTGGGTTGAGGCTCTTCTTATTGTGGCTTCGCGGAGTTAATGAACCATTGATGATCAAGGATAAGCATGCTGCGGTGCTCTGTGTGTGGACAGGGCAATTAGTTGGGATCGTCTGTTGTTGTTCAGGCCCTTCATTGTGGCAATATCTAAATATAGATGCCGGGTGGACTAGCCATAAAATCTGTATGGCTCGATATGGGAAACATTACACATTAACGAATTTATTGCCGATAATTGCAAAATACAGTGTGGAACACAGCTACAATGGCACAATTGGACTTACAATTTTGATGCAATAATAATTTCTTTTAATTCTAAAAGAACATTTGGCCAGCTTTTGTGCTTGGAACTATCCCACAAGCAGCAAATGCCTCTTTAGAAGAATTTGTCATTTGATTAAACATTAAATATAAATTTATTGCTGTTTGAAAAAAATACACCAACATAGTATTCAAAATTGTAATAATAACAATAATGGAAGCAACTATTTATTTATCTGTTTCCACCGGAGACGCATCGCATCACTAAGTAAACATCGATAGACATACATAATTAATCTGTACAATATATCGAGGGACTCTGAATATTACCATCTCTGATAATTATTTACATACATCTGTGCTGTTTCCGTTTCCGGTTTAAGTGTCGCTATTAAAATGCTTTCCAATTTACCGATTGAGATTCTAGATAAGATTTATGGATGTTTGAGTTTAAAAGATAAACTTCAACTGGCTCAAGTCAACGAAATCCTTGGCCAGGCATTTTCCTACCATAGTAAATTGTTTTGTACACTTTTGGACTGCTATGTTTTTACAAATGATATATTGAGAGTTTTTCTGCCGCTTTGCGGAGCGAGTGTGGTCCACATGAAAACGACTGAAAACACATTCGAGAAGCCAATTGTGGAGCTAATATTAAAGCACTGCACCAACTTGAAATCTACCAGTTCGGAGATTCCAACTGATCATTTGAAGGAGTTCAAGGCATTTATAGGCATTAAAAGCCTAAGAAAAATTGAATATTTTAATAAATTTAGGTGTAATCATATAATCGAATGCATTAATACAGATTGTAAGGAGTTGAAAGTATTTCACATAAGGAATGGACAGGGTATGGACTTAAAATTAATCAAAATGAATCTATTTTTTGAATATATTGGTTTATATTGGTTTCAGCACAACACATTCGAAGATTGAAAAACTTGGAAAAACTGTACCTCATTTGGCCTGAGAGAAAAAATTTATTAAATATTTTTGAAATAGCCTCACACTTAAAAAAACTTCGCAGCTTGGTGGTTATGTACAATATCGTTTCATTATGCCAGAAACTTGATTTTTTATTACCGGAATTGGAAGAACTTGAGTTAGTGCATTGCAGAATTAGTCTGTCGGTAATGCCAACATGTCCAAAGCTCAAATCGTTAAAATTTGCGAGCACAGAAACTCTCAATATCGTTCAAATTGTTTCAAAATACGCCAATACCCTGGAGCGTTTATATCTATACTCAATCAGTTATCTTCCAAAAGATTTATTTGAAATTATCAGCAAATGCAAAAAGTTGCAGTTGATTCATACAAAACTTTCCGTAATTAACACTGTGTTTTCCGATTCTCTGAATTCCTTTGATAACATTTTGAGGGAAAATGGTTTCAACGAACAAAGGCGTCTTGTTTGGGAAGTTAATGAACGTAATTCGGAAGATGGGATGCGATTATTGGTATGTTTATTGATCGGAAATGATAATTTTCAATATTTTAAAACAATTTTTTATTATAGATGCAAAAATACACACAATCGCAAATGCGGAAACTAATAGAAGTGAATGTAACTGATAAGAGTAAGCGAATTGCGAGTTATAATTATTAAAATAATTGTACAAACATTAATTAACTTTTCAGTACGAAGAACCCCTGTAACAAATCTACGAGCTGCATATCCACTTGAGCGGTCCATTTTGAAGTATGTCAATGGTTAAATTATAACGCAATAAGTTTTTAGAAATATTTTTCTACTTGAAGAAAATCATACAAAAACCATTTGAATGCATTCATTCGGGCTTTTGATTTTAATTAATATTTTCTAAATGGAAATCCATCGAAATATAGATTACAAATTATAAAAGCTGATTAAATATTCATAATAAATATAAAACAGATCTTCAAATGTAGATACGGAATATTCATACCTAATATAGTTGTTACTAATCTCATAAACATTTGTTAAGTATTATTATTTACATTTTATATTCATATTATTTACTATTAAAATATTTTGCATCCGATTTTCTGTTCTCTTCATTTGCTAGCTTCACTTCTCGCATGCAAAAATAAACCTTCTCGCAATTCTCCTTCTATCCTTTGTTCTATTGCTCTCTCAGCAGCAACAACAACAACAAAGCTGCACTCTCGCTCGCTCTCTAGCTATGCTCTCAGCAAAATGCTAAACACTTTCGAGAAGCAGAAGCAACAACCAACGGGACTTTGCGGTTGCTGCGTTCTCTTATTGTCTCTTATTGTGCACAAAATATCTACCTATTGGTATACAATTTTTGAATTAATTAATTAATTGGATGTTTACACAGAGAAATGTGTCGAAATGAAATCAGTGTTTTTCTGAACAGTCAGCTGCATTTAATTATTATTAATTTCTTCCTTTTTTTGCTCTCGCTCTGTTTTGATGGTCTGCAAAATAAAAGACGGAACATTTCACTTCTTAAATCGATTAACAAATCTAAGGATTTTCCTGGCCGTTTTGGCCAGCTGCCCCATTCCGCTTGAAATGTAGCATCCAGAGTGTCGCCTCCTCGCGGTACAAGCTCAGTGTCACTCCCGAGCGGCTTGTGGGCACCACATTTGTTTCTGGTCTCTTGTGATTGTTATTAATGATGAACATAAATCAATTGTCTTTTGGGGCAAAGTAACACAATATGTTAACCGAAAAGTTCTACCGCCTCACGTACTGCACTCAGAGGCCAGACGGACAGATAGACAGCCAGGGCGACCGACCAGTCAATTATGCCAATTGCTGGCCCCAAAAAGATATTGTATATTCCGCGTGTGTGTGTGTGTGTGTGTGTGTGTGATAGTGTGTGCAGATACGCTCGTGTGCAGCGGTTATTCGGTGCTGCGCATGCGCACCGCATGAGGTCTAATAAAAATTAAGCGCGTGTTGCATTTGTTACTGTCGTATGTTGTTGCTTATTTTGTTGTTGCGGGTCACTTGACCAACAAACGAAACAACACGTACAAAAAACTGACGCGTGACGTGGTTGGTAGGCCCAACACCACGCAACAAATTATTTCGGAAGCGATAAATATGGAAAATGATTTAAGGCCTGTTTTGTGTGATTTTTTAAGGTTTTTGCAGCAATGAGTATTATTATTATTTGGTTTTTATGTGAATTTCAATCAAATTATATTCGGGATAACTGTCCTGTAACAGGAGAAAGTTTAAATATAAATTATTTAATATTTATATTATATTTTATGTAATATAAATTCATAAATACATACAATTCTTTTTGATTTTTTTGTTAGGAAATAACTTAACGTAAATAAATCAATAGAAAAAATTAGAATTTATTTTTAAAATTTAAATTTGTATTTAAAAAGCTATACAAAAAGTTTCAAAAGTTTAATACAAATCGAAGATTAATTTGCCTGGCGAATGCTATCAAAACTAACTCCTTTGTGTAGGCCAGTGTTTTTTGGCTTTGCCACTTGTGGCACGAACACACCGCTGTGTGGCACACTAACACAAGGGCAACAACTTTCGCATTAGGCCAGGCCAACAGCGGCAGCAGCGACAGCAACAGCACATTTTGCTGGAACCTGCCACGGAAGCCACATAGAGATAGACGCGACGCCTTCTCCGACTTGGTCCCGTGGTGTGCGAGTGGGTCGTAGGAAGCCGAAGTCACTGCCGGAGTCGGAGTTGGAGCCAATGGTGGGGGACCAGGCCAGGCCTTGTGGCGAGCCTTTTAACATTTGTGTCACAAGTGGCTCTCGGCCTCTTTGGGCTCTCTGTGCATATTGCAGTTAATTTTCGCAACGACGCAATAGAGTTCCACGCGCCCACGCCACGCCTGCCGGCCCCCTCCACACCTCCTTCAGCAGCGGCGTCGGCAGTTGCAGCTGGTTCATGATGCCGTTCAATGTGGTTTTTGTAGCCAACAACCGCGGTGCGCCGCCTTATCACCTGTTTCAGCAGCAAGGCCCAACTGCTTGAGATACTCTACTATATATGGGGCCAGATGGTTTTGCTCTTGGTGGCGGGGCTCATTTTTGAAATACACTTGTAACAGTGTGAGCATACAGTAGTCTGGATGCAAAATTTGGTGACTCTAGCTTTTATAGTCTCTGAGATCCAGGCGCTCAACAAGACGGACGGACGGACAGACGGACAGATAGACATGGCCCCCAAATCAATAGCCAGCAAAGTGTATTCCAAACTCTTTATAAACTCCCATACTCAAATTTCTTGTTTATATCCGCTAGTTTGTTTCTTTTGCCTGATATTGCTGATATATTTTGGCGCGCAAAACTTTTTCTGGTTTCGTAATATAATTTTTTGTAGTTTTGTTTCGATTTGAGTTTTGAGTTTTGGTTGGGCTTTCTGGTTGTGGACAGCACAGTCTCTGGGCAACAACGACGCCAATCAAAGTGCACTTAATTAATTGAAATACGTTACATTAATTACACTGTAATTAAAAGTTAAATTTATACTGCTATGGCGGGTCTCCATCAGGTCTCCTCGCCTCACCGTGTAGGTGTCTGTCTGGTTAATTGTTCACCGAGCGATCGACCTGTCTGTCTGTCTGTCCGTTCGTTCGCTCAGCTTACATCGGCATCGGCATCAGCGATTTCTGCGATTTCAGCGATTTATGCTAATGCCTGTCACCTGCTAGGGAGGGGTATAATTAATATGGGAGAGCTAAGACTTGGAATATGCAAAACTGTCAGAGCTGCTAGACGGTTTCCTAACCCGTTGTATTTCGTATTTCTTCATGCTTTTGGCTTTATGGCTGTCAACATGCTTAAGGATTTGGCTAACTGCGTTCTTAGCCATGGCTAATGGTTGAGCCTTAGATAAGAGCATTTTTAGTTACTTTATTCTGACTAAACAGGACATCAACCTGGCGTATTTTTCCCTCCCTTTGAAAGTGTTTTCTAATATTTTTGATTGACGTTGCTGCCGGGGAAGAGAGGTCTAGGGTGCACAGTCAAAGAACCATCTAATGTCATGCCTGACTGAGGACAGCAAACTGTCACTCGTTGTTGGGGCTTTGGAGTAATGCCTGTGGCACGGGGCGCAGGCGCTGTGGCAGGCACACTCCCCCCTCAACATGTGTTGCATATTACTTGGAAAATGCCTCAAATTGTTGCGGCTTGCAGATGTTTTTGGGAGGGGTCGGGTGCCCCTGCCAATGCCAAGTTAAAGTGACGTTTTCATTTTTCGGAAAATCCCCTCTCATTTGACTTTTTTCCTATTTATAGGTTGGGGTGGCGTGTGTGTGGCTAGAGGCCCTCGCCCTCGTTGTTTTTGGATCTTGAATGAATTCTGTTTTAAATATAAACCTAGCGCGCCCCAGAACACTTTACGGGGAAATCCATCCGTGAAAATGTAAAATATCTCCTGCTGAGTTCTTTTTTTTTTTGCCCCTCCCGCTCATGTGTGTTGTCTTCGGAACTCCTGTCTTTTGTTTATAAGTTTTCAATTAATGCTTTATTATCACCGTTTTTTTGGGGGGGTTTGATGAGCTGTTGAAGGAGGCTTCGCTTGAATTTTGTCTGCCATCTGGCAGAAGGGGAGAAAGCTGCATACCAAAATTCTAACAAATTTGATTATTTTAGTTGATTTTTCAACACACACCAGAAAGGAATATGGATATCCTAATTTGTCGGTGTTGAGAAGTATTTGGAGTTCCCTATTACACTCAGAGAATATTTCGAATTTGTATTGCTAAAAAAAACGCATAATTTAAATTTAAATTTAAAATTAAAACTTGTTTATGCGTGTAATAAATTTAAGTTTATCTATTAAATTATTAAATAATAAATATAATAATAAGTCCAAATAATAAATAACGAAAAAAGTATTTAATAATAATTTAAAAAATGTGATTTTATCTATTCTAAAAAGTTTTAGTTATTTTTAACATTTCCTACAAACCTAAAATATTAAACTAATAGGAAATATATTATATTAATTTATTAAAAACATAAAATAAGTATGAAGTATTTTTAATTACGATTTTAAAAATATTTTAAAAAACTATTTTCATTTGAATATATTTATTTTGTCTTTCGCAGACAAGCTAAACATATTATAAATAGGTAAACAAAATATTTCTAGGCTATTAAAAATTCTATAATGTATAAATAGGTTTAATTTAGCCCAATGGCATCTAAATTGGCCTGCGAATAGATAGATACACCCACTAGATCAACTCATTCATGCATTCCATTCAGTGTTCTTTAATACAAACCAAATATACTTTTACGCTGTACATAATCTCGTTCTTGTTCAAAAGTCAAATATCAGCGGATCAGCAACAACATTGTTGTCAATGACATTACAGAAAAACAAGATCGTTAATCGTTATAAAACATGAACATTGCATGCCCAAATACAGCAATAAATAGGTTGAGTCCACTCCACGCTTCGATCAGATCAAAAAATGAATTGTATACTGGCAGTGTTATTGCTACAATTGCTGCACAATATTTCGGTGAATATAAAGTACTACCAACTTCAGGGATTTGTAACATAAACATATAAATATTTTGTAGTGCGAGCAATCTTATGTGGTCACCAATGAGAAGCTGGAGCCTTTTGAGGGCGACTCGGAGACGCTGGTGATATTCGATAGCCTGAAGACCACTGGCCGCGAGCGAGCGATCAATGGTTCGTTCAAATTTCTGGGTGCGATGAACAACGATGACTTCAAGGTGTCCGTCGAACTTTACTCCAGTCCCAATGGAGATGGCGACTTTAAGCGCATGGCCATGGACGTGCCACAGACCAGCATCTGTGAGTGCTTCAAGAAGTTCTATGTGCAGTTCGTGCAGCCATCGCTGACACAAGGT